GCCCCGGCCCTGCCTCGGCCCGGCTGCGCCGCCCTGCGCACACGAAGGGCCCCCGCCGCCCTGGTTATGTAACAGCGTGGGGCGGGAGGGCAGCTGCGTGCACTCAGACTTTGCCTCCCGCACCATGCTGGAAGGCAGGACTTTGGCACCGGCGGCGGGTTCGCAAACACCCGCAGATCATGTTGCTCAATGCAGCCCTTCCCAAAACCAGTGGCGCAATGGAGAGGGCCCGTGGGGAGCCCTCGGGGAGTTTATCAGTGCGGGGAGCAGGACCCTGCGCTGGGCAGGAAAATCAGAGCCACTTGGCACAGGAGAAAACCCGCCCTGCCCGGGCGCAGGCTGGCTTTGCTCTGCACCCACTGCTCCCCTGTCCCATCCTGGCACCGAGCCTGGGGCAAGCTGCCTGGGCCTCGTCCTGCAGGGAGCTGAGCACGGCCCCTCCCTGGTAGGGCCCCTCCTCGGCAGGGCACCCGCTGCGACTGGGAAACGACGCCCCGCCTGTGGGAAGCCACTGGGCGGCGTTGCGGGGTGCGAGCTTCCTCGGGCTGCGAGCCGGGTGCCAGATCGTGTCTCCAAACACACCAAACGTGGCAGGAAAAAATTGGTTGAGCGGAAAAAACCAACAACCCAGGGACCAAAGTAGTTGAGCAAAAAAAAAAAACCAAAACCCAAAAACCGCACAATAAAAAGTCCCGGCTCCTTTACATCCCCCCCCGCCCCAGGAGGGGAAGACTGTCCCAAGCGGCCTTCTGTCCCAGAAAATACCTGGTTTTCTTTCTGGGCGTTTTTTCCAGCCTGAGGCCGCAAATACTGGACTGTCCGGGCCAATCCCAGACACCTGGCAATGCGCGCTGCATGGCGTGAGCGGGCGGGGCCTGCGTCCGGAGCCAGCGCCTCCTTCCGAAATCCCGCCCCTCCTCCCGCAGGCCACGCAGCAAGTCCCGCTGGCCCCGTGTTCCCAGCGCGCGTGGTGCCCAGACCTCGCACCAGTGCACGGCCCTGGCTCGCCCCAGACACACGCGAGGCCACCGGCGCTCAGCACTCGGGCTCGCTGGGTGCACGCTGTCCCCAGCTCCCCGGATCGGGCCTTCGTGGGCGCTGTTCCTTTAGCCTCCCTCCTCAGCTGGGCCCCTTGTTCCAGGTGAGCTGGGGGGGGGTGGGGGCAGCCCATCACCTGCAGCCCGGGGCATGGCCAGGCCCGCTGGGCAGCGCCTGAGGGGAGGGGCACCACACTGAGTTTCAGCTTGGTCACGGTGTCCTCTTTTTGCATGTCATGCCAGGGAGAGAGAGAGACACAGACACCGGGGGGAGAGAGAGAGAGACACACACACACACACACCGGGGAGAGAGAGAGAGAGACACACACACACCGGGGAGAGAGAGAGAGAGACACACACACACCCACACACCGGGGAGAAAGAGAGAGACACACACACACACCGGGGAGAGAGAGAGACACACACACACACCCACACACCGGGGGGAGAGAGAGAGAGAGACACACACACACCCACACACCGGGGAGAGAGAGAGAGACACACACACACCCACACACCGGGGAGAGAGAGAGAGACACACACACACCCACACACCGGGGAGAGAGAGAGAGACACACACACACCCACACACCGGGGAGAGAGAGAGAGACACACACACACCCACACACCGGGGAGAGAGAGAGAGACACACACACACCCACACACCGGGGAGAGAGAGAGAGACACACACACACACGGGAGAGAGAGAGAGAAACACACACACACACCCAGACACAGACACACACCTGCAAACAAAATGGCGCAGACCCAGCAGCGTCACTTCCCTGCTTCACACCGGTTGGCGCTTTGTCCCTGTGACACCTGGGCCCTGCAACGACCCAGCCATGAACCGCGCTGACGTCCCAGACGCTGGGCCAGGGGGTCAGAGCTGAGACTTGGCTCCTTGCTGGGCCACCCAGAGCCTGTGGGTGGCGATTCCAACAAGGCTTCCGCACACACAGGGACACCTGGGAGCTAGAGGCCACCCGGGCAGCAACGCTGGCTGGGGAGGGGGCAGCGAGGCCCACAGGATGGCGCGGACACTAACTCTACTTGGCCCTTCCCAGCCCAAAGTGCCTCACAGGGCGGGCACGGCATCAGCCCCGTGTTACAAGATGGGGAAACTGAGGCACAGAGCCAGGTGACAAGCCTTGCTCCAGCGAGTCAGGAGCAGCACCTGAGTGTTCTGCGCGCTCCACCCCCGTGCTCAGCACCACGCCGCGATGTCACGCCCAGCCTGCGAACAGGCGTGAGGGCGGCGCCGTGTTTCCGCAGGTGGAGGGGCAGGGGGCTGCTCGTGATTTTCCTGCTGGCCGAGAGTTCCCCTCCTGCGTCCAGGGGCTCTGCCTGGCCTCTGTGCCTGGCTGGGAAAAGCGGGCGTCAGTGATGGTCCTGCCCCTGAGAAATCCCAAGTGCTTTCCGGGGGCACCCCCGCCCAGCGCTGCACAGCCGGCTGCGGTGATGGGCTGATTGACAGCACCTGTCCCCCACAGCGGAGGAGGAGATGGATCCCCTTGGCTTGGGCTCTATCAGACTCCTCCGTGGAAAGTCCCAGACACAGGCCTGGGCTGGGTCTGGTTCTGCTTTCCCTCTCCCTGCTTCCCCGCTATCTCCAGCATCGCGGCCCCGCAGATAACGCCCCGCCCGCGCACACGTCAGGAGCTTCCACGTTGGGTCCTTACTAAAGTCCAAGCCCTGGAGACTGTGTCACCGGCCTGCGTGGAAGCCGGCCGGGGCGACTGGCTGCCGTATAAATACAAGCCCGCAGGGCACAGCCAGCAGCCCGGACGCAGCAGCACAGGTGAGCTTGCTGGAAGGGGGAGGCATGGAGCTGCCGCAGGTGTCCCTGGCTGGACGCTGGCAGCGCCTTGCTGGGGAACGGCTGCAGGAGCAGCCTACACAGGATGCTGCCGGGGACGGGCAGCTGAGGGTCTGTCCAGAGGAGTCGGTGGGTGGGTGAGGTGGGCACTGGGCGCTCAGCCTGCACCTCTGTTCCCAGGTCGGCAGCAGGGCCCTCGGGAAAGCGGGATGAAGGGGTGCTCCGGCGGGGGGATGCAGGAGGGGCGGCCTCTCCCGCTGACCCTGCAGGAGCAGCCTACACAGGATGCTGCCGGGGACGGGCAGCTGAGGGTCTGTCCAGAGGAGTCGGTGGGTGGGTGAGGTGGGCACTGGGCGCTCAGCCTGCACCTCTGTTCCCAGGTCGGCAGCAGGGCCCTCGGGAAAGCGGGATGAAGGGGTGCTCCGGCGGGGGGATGCAGGAGGGGCGGCCTCTCCCGCTGACCATGTCCGTCCCACCCTGCTTGGGGCTCAGCCGGGGCGGAGCGCACGGGGAGACTGACCGGCTCATCCTTCTTCTCTCTGCAGTTTCCCCCCCTGCCTGGCTGATCCCTGGAGCGCAGGATGTCTCTGAAGGTCGTCACCCTCGCCCTGGCGCTGCTCGCCATCACAGGTACGGCAGAGCCCCGGCGCAGACCCTGTCCGCAGAGCCGCGGTGCTTCCGGCTTCCTCACCCCTTTCTTGGGAGGGCAGGTGCCAGGGAGGGAGGGGTGACGGGGCCTCAGCCTGAACCTGGGCTATCTCGGACACAGCCACGTGCTCCCAGGCCTGGCCAGCACCCCGGGGAGATGGCGCCCGGTGGGGGCTGCCCCCCACAGCTCCTGGGTGGAGGGGGCTGAGGGAAAGGAGGCCCCTGGGAATAGGAGGGGTGGGGCAGGCGCAGAGCAGCTGCACGCGGCACTGAGCCCGGGCGCTGGTTCCTTCCCAGGGGCCCAGGCAGACATCAGTGCCGAGCAGGTGGCCGACGTGGTCTGGAATTACTTCACCCAGCTGGGCAGCGGCGCCAAGGACACGGTGGAGCAGCTCCAGCAGTCTGACATCAGCAAGCAGCTCAAGTGAGTGCCCCTGAGCGCCGGCGCGGGAGGGGTGGGAGCAGAGCGGGTTTCGGGGGCCGGCCCGGCGGGCGAGGGGAACGCACTGGTCCTAGGGCTCTGACTGGAGGGAACGGTAAATAGCAGAGCACACGGCCTGGCCTGCCAGACCCACTGCCCCGCGGAGGCGGAGGGACCCGTCTCATGCAAAGCAACGGGCAACAGGCTGGCAGGGAAACTTGCTTCTGCCCCCTGTCCCTGCAAAATGTCCGGAGCAGGGCAGCTGGAAGAGAAGGGTCGCCAGGAAAGTCTGCTCCGAGTGGGGGGAGAGCCCTGGCACGCGCTACATGGGCGAGGTGTTGTAGGGCGCAGGGCAGGGACCTGGGGGGGCCTGACTGGTCGGGGAATCAGTGTGAGACCCTAGGGGCTGACCTGTCCTGCCCTTCCTGCCCAGCACCCTCTTCCAGGACAACCTCCAGAACGTCAACGCCTACGCGGAGGGCCTGCAGAAGAAGCTGGTCCCCTTTGCCACCGAGCTGCACGCCAAGCTGCGCCAGGACTCGGAGAAGCTGAAGGAGCAGATCCAGCAGGAGCTGGCCGAGCTGCGCCTCAAGCTGTCCCCGTACGCCGACGAGGTGCACCAGCACGTCAACAGGAACATCCAGGAGCTGCAGCTCAAGCTGAGCCCGTATGCGGAGGAGCTGAAGGAGCAGGTGAACCAGAATACGGCCCTGCTGCGCCAGCAGCTGGCCCCCTACGCCCAGGAGCTGCGGGACAAGCTGCAGGAGAACGTGGACGGCCTCCAGGCAGCCCTGACCCCCTACACCGAGCAGCTGCAGCAGCAGATCGACAAGAACGTGGCCGGCATGAAAGACAAGCTGGCGCCCTGGGCCGACGAGCTCAAGGTCAAGATTGACCAGAATGTGGAGGAGCTGCGCAAGCAGCTGGCCCCCTACGCCCAGGACGTGCAGGACAAGCTCAACCGCCAGCTGGAGGGCCTGTCCTTCCAGATGAAGAAGGGCGCGGAGGAGCTGCGGGCCAAGCTCTCGGACAGCACGGAGGAGCTGCGCCAGAAGCTGAGCCCTTACGCCGAGGAGCTGAAGGAGAAGCTGCGCACGGACGCCGAAGGCCTGCGCCAGTCCCTGGGCCCCTACGTGGAAGGCCTGAGCGGGCAGATGGACCAGAAGATCGAGGAGTTCCGCCAGACCGTGGCCCCCTACGGGGAGGCCTTCAACAAGCAGCTGGTGCAGAAGGTGGAGGAGATGAGGCAGAAGCTGGGTCCCTACGCTGGGGAAGTGGAGGATCATCTCAGCTTCCTGGAGAAGGACGTGCGGGACAAGGTGGCCTCCTTCTTCAGCACCCTCCAGCAGATCGAAAACTGAGCGGGTCCCACCGCAGGCTGGGCAGCCTCCCCACTCCACCTGCTCTGCCCCACCGCCACTGCACAAAGCGAGCCGCTGTCTACCTCAGCGCTGGGACCAGCCCCCGGCCGCTGGCTCTTCTGCAGCTCACAGCACAGCGGGGGAAAGCGACCCGGAGCTGTGGATGCCAGGAGACCAGCACCCGCTGGCGGCCCGGCTGTTCCTGCACTTGACCTCTGTAAAATTGCACTATTGTGTCTGCTGAAATAAAAGTGCAACAGCAATGCCCATGGCGACTCTCTCTTAGCCTGCTGTAACCGGCTCTGCAGGGGCCCTGGGCTGTTCCATGGGTGCGCGGAGGAGGGGCTGGGGGGCTCTAGTGGCTAGAGGAAATTTAAATGAAGGAGCCCGGTATGGTCCAGTGAGTGTGAACCAGAAACCACGAGGATGAACGAGGCTGGAAGAGGAGGGAGTGAGAAACTAGCCGGTTTCTTCTCTTTCTGTGTTGGGCTGCCTTGTGGGCACCCCCAATGGGCGATTGCCAGTGGCAGGGAAGCAGGGTCCGGGCAGGGCAGTGGAGAATGGAGAGGGTCCCAGTCCAAGCAGGGGAGCCCGCAGGGAGGGCGTGGGGCTGGCTGATGGAAGCGGGGAGAGGGGGCGCCCCACGGCAGTCTCGCTGGTCGGCTGTGATCCACACCCGGAGCCGGGTGGAGAGTGCCTGTTGCAATGCCTGGGGGTACACGCACTCTGGGGGGAGGGTTAAGTCCAGAGGGAAACGCTTTTCTTTGGGCTTTATAAACAGAGCAGCCCCTGGCCTGCCCACCGGAGAGTGACCCCTTCCCCCTCGCTCCTGCCCCTCTCCACATCCCCGCACGGGCAGATCCTGTGTCCCAGGTAGGGGCCTCCTCTGCCAGGCTGGGACACTTGCTGCCCTGGGTACAGGGCGTTCCGGTTTTGCTGGGTCCCACGCCCTATTCTAGCAGCGTGTCCCTTATCTACGGCAGGGGGCCAAGCCCCGCACGGGTGTAAACCAGCGTGGCTCCTTTTAGGTTGCTGCAGCTCTGCTGCCCTGCATCCGTGGAGGGTCTGGTCCAAGGGGCCCCGGGCCACCCCCGGGTGAGGGAGAGAGGTTTGGGGACCACACGGGGCTGCTAGTCACACAGGACAGCGGTGCTGGGTAACATCTGAGCAGCTGTGACTCTGGCTGCCGGCTGTGCGCTCTTACAGCAATCACACCACCAGGCCCTGCTCTCCCCTGGGGCTGGCAGCTGCTCCTCCGAGGCTGGCAGCTGCTCCGCTGGGGCTGGCAGCAGAGCCTGGGCTGTAATTATTAGGGTTCAGTTCAAAGTGACCGCCAGTTGGATTGTCCACACTCGGGGGGGGTGGCCGGTTTACCCGCAGAACTGGAACAGCTTTGCCCCCAGTCACAGCCCTGCCCCGAAGGCCCCCTCGCCAGGCATCCCCTTGGCTGAGGCTGCTAACAAGGGGCTAGTTCGTGCCCTGAGTGACGGGGCTGCCTGTCCTGCAGCAACCGGCCAGAGACGCGTTCGCTGGGTTGCTGCACCGAGGCCTCTCGGTGGCCAATGAAGGGAACCGTCGGGGGCCGTGAAGCGGTGCTCGGGGGCTGGTGTGATGTAGGGGGGTGCTGTACTCTGGTTGGGCATTCACTGGTCGCTGGGGGTGACCCCTACTGGCCCGCGTCTGTGAGCACGGCCCCGCGGGGTCGCCCTCAGGGCCCTCACGTCACAGAGACCAGGGCCCAACCGGCTCTCACTGACCAGGGGAGGGGGTGGCTTGGAGAAGGGGCAGTCTTGGCTGGGAAAACATGAAGAGAAGAGACCGAGCTGAGTGCTGGGGGCTCAGGGGCCTGTGCCCCCTGCCCCCAGGGGTGTGAGGCTGCCTGGCCCTGGCGCCTACATCCGGACTCTGCTGTGCCGGACCCTGGAGGAGCAATAACCCCTCTGTTCCCCTGGCTGGTGGCGTCTCATCTTGCTGCAGACGGGTGCAGGGTCGGGGGGTCCCCGACGCGCCGCCACAGCTGGATTCCCTGCGCGCCGCAGCCCGTCTGTCCCTGCGGCTGGTGGGATTGTGAGGTAGCAAGAGAAGGTCTCCCAGGATATTCCCAGAATGCACTGCTCTCAATCCAAACTATGGAGCAACATGTCCA